TTTGAGAATGCAGGAATTTTGGCAAAATCTAAGATTTTTGGTTAGGCACCTCTATAGGGGATTGCCTGGGTCCTCCTGCAAAAAAATGAAGTTTGAGCTGACCCATCACCTGCAGTATTATTATTCATCATGCAAGTAAGTACATTGCATCAAACAATGCTACACAGCCCTTAGAACAAGAAAATATGTAGCCGACCACAAAATACTGCCTCTAAGGGGTCAAAATACTTCTCTGTGGCTTCCTGTAAGCTTGAACTACATATTTTCCTGTTATGTGTTCATTGAAGCATGTTTTGTGCACGTTTTTTCAAGAAGGAGTATTACAGGTTATTGATGTGCACAACTGTACTTCCCAATCATCTGGGGGTCTGAGTGGTCCCTAGACCCAGTCACAACCACTCAACTAGAACCTTCTGGATGGTTCATGTCAAACCACTTTTGAAGAATTCACAGGAATGTCACATATTATGTAATTCCCAGCTTAAATTTGGCATTGTGTCTCATTCCTTCCCCCATTCCTAGCTTGGTAGAGCTCTTCCCTCTGCAGTACTATTGCTAGGGATGTCCTTCCTTCTTATCTTTCTTCCTTCCCTTCTTCATTTGGTGCCTACAACACTTCATTCCCCCTCCAGTGCTAGTAATCAATAATGTAATGTGGTTCTATAATCTCTCCTAGGCTGTCAGCACCGGTCTCTTATGTGACCTGGCGTTGATGGGGTTTATGGGGTCGCACTATAACTGCAGAGGCAGTCAGTGGAAGAGAACCACACCTCAACGCTAGTAAGCGGAGGGGTTAGCTCCCTGGGTTAGAGGGGACACACGCGGTATGAGCTTCGCGGTGCCGAGCTTAGAGTACGTATAACTCTCTTCTAGGCTACAGTAGTGACTTTACTGTAGTCTAGGGATGGAGGAAGATGATAGGGGTAGGAAGGAGGGATGTAATAAATTGTAATAGATTATAAAAAACCCCACTCACTTAATTTAAGTAAGGACAACGGGTTTGTATGGCAAATAATCTCTGGGGGGAAGAATCCTAGAGGGAAAGCCCTCCCCCTTAAGTATTGCAAGGCAGGGTTCAAACTGCCTGTTGGACCGGACAGGTCCACAGATGATCATTTTATGTATTTAAATCACAAATGATCAGAACATGTATTTAAATTAAGATTACATCAAAAGTGGAGGGAATGACATCATTTCTCTCTATGGGAAATCCATACAGAGAGGAATAAATTAATCAATTCCCAAAGTGTAGTAATCTCTCTAATTACAGAATATACTTAGAGAGAAAGAAGAATAAACTTTATGTACATAAGTTAGCATCTCTGTAATAAAGGAATATTAATACAGAGGAAAATACTAAGTTATTCCACGGAATTACTTAGGAGAAAAAAATATAAAAAAGGAATGAATAAAAATACAATAGAGTGTTGAGGGGGATTGAACACAGGGTGTTGGTAAGAATTGTCTGAAGACAGTTCTTAACCACTACACTAGCCTGTTTGTACTTATATGTTCACATTGTAGACACATGGGCTATAGCCTCAGTGTCTGACATAGGCTTTTGAGCCAAGTAATAGTCCTTCCAGAACAATCAGCAAAGAACCAAAGCAGTTTCTAATCACATTCCACCTGGGGGATGCCATTTGGGTATCAGCCTCAGGAATCTAGAGGGTATAAAAAATGGTTACAGCAGCTTCAAGGTATTTCAGGCTTACTTCTTGAAATTAAAAGCTTCTATACATCTATGATATCAACAGCACTGAAACCAATAGAATACATGTGTAAGGACTCCGTTGAGTCCTTCACTGTCTGTTGGAAAGGTGCTAGAAAAATTGCTGAATAGCGTCCACGGAGAAGATTCTAGTACCAATGTGTCTTTCATTTCAGTCTAGACAGGAGAGAAAGATCTCTCAGTTAGTATCTACAAATGATGGGAAGTAAGAAAAGGAAATGAGAAGATAAGGAAGGAAGGCAGGGTACTTACCTAGACAGGAGAGAAAGATCTCTGCTGTCTAGGTGAAGGGGAAGTGCAGGAATAAATACAAGGCAGAACTGAGCTTATGTAATCTAGTGACATGTTTGTGTAAGTCATGAGGAGCAGGCCTTACAACATGTATCTGTATTGGTCTGTATCTGTATCTTTTTTATCCCAATTATACATTGTATCTGTATTGTATTTACAAATATATTGTATCTGGTCACCAATACAGCTCAATAAAAAAATACAATACTGTGTTTTTTGTATTGCCCAGTTGAGTTGTTGAATAAAATCCCAAATTGGCCAAAAAATGTGTAGTAGTTTTGTTGATAAAATTCCTCTGTGTTGTATCTGATTTTATATACAATACCCAATACCATTTTTTTTAGTATCAGAGGAAAAGATACACTACACTGTATTGCCCAATAGATGTATTGTATTGTATTTCTTTCACTTTTGGTATCAATGGCATAGCCTGAGTTGCAAGCTGTCCTGGGTTTTTCAATATTTCATTCATTTACAATATGAAGGCCAGTAGACACTACCACTCTGCCAATGGCAATTAAGTCAGGTGGTAATCTAGCCCAAAAGCCAGCACATAATTGACAATTGGCAGGGTGATAGTCACTCAGCTTGAAAGCCAGAATGTATTGGTCATTGATCTTAAAGCTACATATCTCAATAGCCCATATGTGCTTGCCATTTTTCTTTGTGTTTGTCCCAGCTCAATGGGGCCAAATTTCAAACAACAGCTTGGACACTGTCTAAGTATCCAAGTAACACAAGTAATTGAATCAATCAGGGGAGCCCATCAACTTTAAATGCACATAAAGAGTGTTACCTCACTAGATTGAGATGACTTTCAAAGATACCATGTATCAAAGCAACATGATTTCCAAATCTAGTGATCATTGATTAATTCAACACCATTTCAAAATGAGGTCAATAGATAAAAGTTGACAAAACATCAACTCTAGCCAGCAAACTCAATGCAGAGTGATGTAAATCCCACAAGGAGAAAAAATTGGTCATTGTTATCCAAGTATAGCCTCCAGATATCATATTGTATGTAACTTCCTAGTTTTGATTTGGGTACTGTAGGTTTCAGACTTTCAGTTGCACCAGCCTAGAGCTGACCAGAGTTGTGAGTCTTGGTGGCAAGGGTAGGTACAGGAATGATTAAAGAAACATTGTCCAAGTTGGTCATACCACATCAATGGCTGAGAGAAGTGATGCTTCAAGTGTTTTAAATGCCAAATACTAAAAAAAGCTGTCTTGTAAGTGGTAGAGCTGGAGACAAGGGTGGGCTGCCATGCTAAACTACACTTTTGGCCCAAAAGTGTGAGCGTAGTGGCACTTGTTTTGCACAGAAATCTGGTAGTGTTAGCACAATAGGATGGTTCACATTTGAAATATTTCGGCAAAATCTTCATGTGAAACCAGCAGAGCGCTGTGAGTTTGCATGCATAAAGTTGGCCTGCACGTCTGCCAATTTTTAAACTTTTTTGAAACCAGCAAGCAGGAATTTTATCCAAAATCAACAAGATTTCATTCAAATGTGAACCGTCCTAATATTAGTGCATTTTCACTACACTGCACTGCACTACAAGCCGCTATGTTGCCAAAAAAACTGCTAACCAGTGTGGCAGGCCCTTTTTGGCGGCATGTGTGCGTAGTGTTTTCTAAGACATGGCAGAATTCCACTACACTAAGCTATTCTTCAGTGCAATTCCACTATGCTAAGCTGCACTAATGCTACAGTTAGTGTAACTGGCCCATTGTTGCTGAAGAGACTGGACTTGGAGCAGCAGGAAATGGTTCCCCAAGACAACCGGGGTGAGTGAGTGAATTGGTGGAAGGATGAGAAAGACTTCCACAACTTACCCTCCTGATCAGGTACCCCAGACATGAAATGAGACTGGCAAATAGAGAAATAGACTACAGTCTATCACCCAAACAGCTTTTGGTGTATTGAAGAAGAGAGAGGAGCAAGACACCTCAACCACAAGTTCCAGTCCCTCACATTCTCAACCACTGAACTAAACATTCATGCAGGATTTGGATACTCCCTGAAGAGGGTACCAAGCTCCACCTGATGGTAACTCGTTTAGTTCTTCACCCTTGAAATTTTTTAGATAAGTTCATTTAGATTGGGGCGAAAGCCAAAAAATATATATAAAGACGGAAATACAACGACATGTGGCTGTCTGCTTTTCATATTTAAGGATTCGTGCGATTGGTCTAAAGGAAAACAGGCGTTAAAAACTGTAAACTCCCGTCACAAAATTTGAGAGTCCAATCGGTGGTCCAGAAAATGAAGATATCATATTTCTTCCCCCCGTTTAAGCGTTTTCAAACGATGGTATTTGGTCGAGGATCTTCGATTCTTCAAGGTTGGGTTGAGGGGTTGCAAAGCCTTTGTTGAGACGACCGGCCAATTTATTCGGATCCAGTAAGGCGAGATTCCGATGGAAATGCAATCTGATGTGATAGAGGAAATCCGTGTATGGCCCAAGTGGGCGAGGGATGCCTTTGACGTGTGCAAAGTTTCCGATTTTGGTCTTCGGGGTTGGGGTGCGGTTGATGAGAGATACGGTTGTGGGTGCGGCAGGGTCGTTAGATGCGGTTGATGATGAGTCGATACTCTCGGCGGCTTTGCGAAGTAAGTCTCGCCGTAACCGTTTGGCTTGAGCGGCTTCGATCAAGGCTTCTTCCTTGGTTGGGATCTGAGGGGGTTGGCAGTATTGATAAGCTTGAACGTACTGTTCACTCAAGACTTTCTTCATATTCTTTTTGGTCATCTCAGGTAGCAGACGCTGGAATTCTTCGATGGCTTGTTTCGCTTGGGCTTCGGATTTGCAAGGAACGTTTCGCCAAACGGCCGCTGGGATTTTTGCTTTGATACTGCTAGGAGAAGATGGGTTGGAATACGTAGGCTTTTGTGAAAGCTCGAGTTGTGCAAGCTCTCTTGATATTGTTCGTATTACTTTATCACGTTTCAAGTCACGAGCGTTGTCGACGAGTTCTATTATTGCCAAAGGCGCATGATCGTTCGCTCGATATCCTACGCGGTGAATCCTGGTATATCCACCACATCGAGTCTCATATCGCTTTGCCAGATTGTGAAAAAGGTGTTTTCGTACTTGAACCCAATTCTGTTTCAAGTAATACTTCTCAGCCATAGATTCTAGCTCAAGCACTTGAAGAAGCTGTGAGTAATGACGTACCATAAGGTAAGACTCAGCTTTCCGCTGATAAAAAATGTTCTCGGTGCCATACTTGGACCAGGTAATGACTCGTTCGGCCAATCTTGATATCGCTTTAGCTTTGGGATATGTGGTCTTAATTTGCTCATGTTCGATCAGGGCTGAGACCAAGTTTCTGAACATGGCCCTCCTATGGGACATCGACCGGTTAAGTTTGGCGAGACGCATGTTTGAGTTTTATCTGTTGATAATCTGTTAATTATCGAGATAGCCTAGGTGGTGAGGTGAAGCTGGTTCCTTGATGTCTTCGTTTCCGTCAGCCTGGTGTTTCGGCTGTGGACTTGGTCGTCTGACTGACGAAAGGTGCCTCCTCCCCCAACGGGGGCTTCACTATCCGTATGCACCCCAGCTCCACTATGC